CATTTGCTGTACAAACAAAAGAAACAGAGATTAAGGGTCGTTTCTTATTACGTACAAAGTTTAACTTGTAAAGGTTCAAACTCGGCAACTATATTGAAAAAAATGTATAAATTTTATTTAACAGGCACATACAGCAACAAAATCCTTTTCGTCGACCACGTAATAAATCTAACTACGAATCAAAATCAATAGAGTCGAATTTCCAAGATTCCACACTGTGAGTTTTTGGTGGAGGAAAACCACAGCATACTAAAACATCCATTTTCTTACACTCAAGTCTCGAACACGATACTCGAAATGGTTTCGATTATTTTAGATAGCTAATCAACTACCGACAACAAGGGCTCAGACAACTTTCTTGTTCTTGAGTTGAACAAAATCTTGGGAATCCAATTTAAATAGTTGAGGGATAAAAGAATTGACAAACAAAATTATATCATAGTTAATTAGGCCTTCAAAGAATTGATTTGCATGGTGTAGCAGCAGGGGTGGGGCTAGGATTTGTGCGAATTCGATTTTTTTTCAAAATTTATAGGGTAGAATATTGGTTTTTTTAAATTAGTAGGATAAAAGACAAGTTCAGACAAACTTGAGAGGGGAATGGCGGCGACCAGGACCACCCATAGGCTCTTAAAAAAAGAGAAGTAATTATCAATTAAACCTGCAGGTGATTTTTCAGAGAAATAAATAGGCATCAATTCCGTTTTCATGTGGCAGTTAGTTGAACTCAAATACTGGGAGTAGAGTTCAAGGTGTACCGTACCAGCTGATTGAGGAAATCATTTTGGAACTTTGCTTCAGTCTCGATTTCTTGAGCTACCTGCAACATCATGTAAACAATGTAAGACCTCACATGCCTGGACCAAAATATATATGATATAAGATTTAGCATAGCATAATCTCCAAGTACGGGATAGGAACAGGATACAGTTTTCATCACTGATTGGTTTATTACATCAACTTTGAAAAGAAACACTTAGCGTTAAATGTATGAATATGAATGGGAACTTGGATGTTAACAAATAACTCGGTTTGATGCTTAAGTTAAAATTCAAGGAGTCAGTTGAATATCTGCCACTTGCTCGACCAGCCCAAACTTTTCACCCATACACAACCACATAGAAATATCGAGACAGTGCTCCATAGAAACTTCATATTACAAATAAAAACATAAACGGCATAAGAAATGGAAATTGCAGGAGAGAGTGTTTAAGTTCATAATTTGTATTCGCCAAGGTTTAGCCTCTCCCACATTGAGGCTTGGTGAGAGGTTGTGGGTTCCGATTCCTTCGGGTGCGTGTGCAGAAGGCCACGTTATGATGCCAATTAAAAAAAACGGTCATAACTTTGTATGCAGGTTACAAGTTTTTTATAACAAAATGAAATAAGCACCTAGGCTTCAAGAAGCATACATGACATATAGCTGATACAATATAACATTTTTCATAAACATCAATATCAGATCATATCTTTCTGCCTTCGGCAATTAGTGGAATGCGAGAGACTACAGTTATTACACAGCATGCATTACCCCATACATTTTTAAGTTCGATACCGAAAGAATCGAAACCGTGATTTTTATTTTTTTTCTCACAGAGAACGAGATGTGTAGCTTTAAAAGCTAGGATTCAACATAGCAGTAAATGAATCGGCAAGCTCCAAATTCATCGAAAGATTTTTTCATTCAAAATTTTTATCCATTTCTTGCTGTGTTGAAAAGTGCAGAGATCAAAGTTGAGTAATTAATACAATAGACTATCACCAAGAACCGGAACTTATTCTTAAACCTAGCCAAATCAGCAAATAGAGTTATTCTTAAAAATGTTGTCGGAAATCAAACTTCATGAGCAGGAACTCCCTTCTCCAAACAAGGCTGATCCATATTTCACAAAATGAAGTAAAAGAAAAAAAATAATAACAAAATTGATTTTAAATCCTAGTTGCAAAATCTAATTAAATTTTCAACACAACATCAGAATTTGCTTACAAAAATTACACAAACTAGTCAGAAAAAGGGCTCCAGGTGTAAATTATATTCGTTCTATCTTCTCTTAAGTGTAAATTTTCACAGTATCAAGCTAAATAAAAACATAAATTAAAAAATATATGCATAAAAAAATTCAGAGAAGTAAAAAAAAAAGGAAGGAAAAAAAAAAAAAACCCTTACATTTCTGAGTTTTCGAACTTGATTCCGAAGACCGGTGACCTCTTCATCAAAGTCGGCGTGCATCGGATCAATTCGCAGCTGAATCTCATCGGAATTGCCGCCATACGCCGCCGGCCTCGTGCTTAATCCATCCCTGTTTCAGTTAACGAATCAACAACCAATCAATCGGCGCCATAGCGAAAATTTTGCCCTTAATAGCTTCAAATGAATAGCATGTGGATGTTATTTACAGGATAATTCCATGAAAATACCTTGATCTGTACGGATCACCCATCGGAGAAGAAGATGAATAAATTCGGAAATCTGCAAAGATTAGGAAATTTATTATTTATTATAAATTTTTAATTTCCGTTTCAGGCTTTAAAATTTCATTTCTTAATCGGGATATTATTGCATTAAAGGGCTTCAAGATGCGATTATTTTCAAATTGCACCGTTTAGATGAGAGAAATTGATTTTTAGACACTATTAAATAAAAAAAATGAATTATTTGAGTATTGAATATTAATTAATGAATAAAATGCATGTACTATTATCAAAGCTCATTAAGAAGGCTAAAGAGTAAAGACATGAAGAGACATATTCTATTTAATTTTTACATTGTCCTCTTATATCATTTTAGTGTTACATACCAAATTTTGAATAATGTCAAATAAGTTACAAAGATTCATTACCTATCATGCAAACAATGAAAATAAAATTAAAGAAATTAACTTCCAATTATTCAAGACTATACTTAATTATTGTGCCGCGTTGTACAATAGTCATTACGTCATTACGAACGATAGCGTTACGTAAGCCATTGCGTCATGCGCTAGTCATTACGAACGATAGCGTTACGTAAGCAGTTACGTCACATGCTCCGCTGTAAACCCTAATTTCGACACACTATATAACGGACCTACGGACCTGAAACTCGATAAAATTTAGGGCAGTGCGGCGCCGCAGATCTAGAATTGCTAAAGAAAAAATCTTTGATTTATATTTTCACAAATTCATCTCCATTCTTCCTAAAAATTCATAGATTAGAAACACATTTTACAATTCATACATATAATTTTATTTTTATTTCTTTATAATAATCTTTTTTTTTTTCCAAGGCTTTTACAATTTTGTTTGGTTCATTTGAGCCTGATTTTGCAAGTATAAAACCCTTGTTAAAATCCTTCAAACCCATCCGATTTTCCATCTTTCCCTCCCCTTCTTCTCTGCAGACTGAGAAATGGATTCCGGCAGCGGCGCGTCGCTACCATCGTCAGGCACCGACGCGCGGAAGCGGCGCGTGTCGTATTTCTACGAGCCAACAATCGGCGACTACTACTACGGCCAAGGCCACCCGATGAAGCCCCACCGCATCCGCATGGCGCACAATCTGATCGTCCACTACGGCCTCCACCGCCGAATGGAGATCAGCCGCCCCTTCCCCGCCGACTCCGCCGACATCCGCCGCTATCACTCGCCTGAATACATCGAGTTCCTCTCGTCCGTCTCCCCTGACACGCTCCACGACCACACTCACGCGCGTTCCCTGAAGCGCTTCAATGTTGGCGAGGACTGCCCCGTTTTTGACGGCTTATACAGCTTCTGCCAGGCCTCGGCTGGCGGCTCTATCGGCGCAGCCGTCAAGCTGAATAGGCAGGACGCTGATATTACGATTAATTGGGCGGGGGGTTTGCACCACGCGAAGAAGAGCGAGGCGTCGGGGTTTTGCTATGTTAATGATATCGTGCTGGGTATTCTCGAGCTGCTTAAAATGCACAGGGTAATTAATCCACAGTTAACACTTGTTTATTTATTTGTTTTTTTAGTATAATAAATAATTTTCCATTGGCATATATAATCGAATTGAAATTATGTACATCCTTAGGGCTTTTTACCCCCAATCCTTTTTTTCGGTTTTGGTGTGTTTTATTAGTGGTTCATTTGGTCTGATTTATCAATTTGTTTGTGCTGTTCATGTGGACCTGTCTTTCTGCTAGTATCGATTATGTGTTTCGCATGTTATATTTTGATTTGAAATTATTTTATGCAGCTGAAGAAATTGAAACTAGGAAAGCATGATTATACTTAGTCTGTTTTTCCCCTTGTTTTCCATTTTAATTATAGTGAGTGCATCATTTGGTCTGATTTATCGATTTCCTTGTGCTGTTTATGTGGTTGCCTTTCTGCTAGTAATATCGACTATTGTGTTCGTATGTTATATTTTGATCTGAAATTATTTTATGCAGCTGAAGAAATTGAAACTAGGAAAGCATGATTATACTTAGTCTGTTTTTTCCCTTGTTTTCCATTTTATTTATAGTGAGTGCATCATTTGGTCTGATTTATCGATTTCCTTGTGCTGTTTATGTGGTTGCCTTTCTGCTTGTAATATCGACTCTGTGTTCGTATGTTATATTTTGATCTGAAATTATTTTATGTAGCTAAAGAAATTGGAACTAGGAAAACATAATTATATGTGTATGATTTTTTCCAGTTTATTTATAGTGCATCATTTGGTCTGATTTATCCATTTGTTTGTGCAGTTTATGTGGTTGTCTGTCTGCTAGTATTGACTATGTGTTCATATGTTATATTTTAATTTAAAATTATTTATGTAGCCGATGAAATTGAAACTAGGAAAGCATAAATATACTTGTATGATTTTTTCTTATTTTCCATTTTATACTTGTGGGTCATTTGGTCTGATTTATCCCTTTGTTTGTGCTGTTTATGTGGTTGTATTTCTGCTAGTATCTACTATCTGTTCGTATGTTATATTTATACTTGAAATATAATTTTATGTAGCTGACTAAATTGAAACTAGGAGAGCATAAATATACTTGTAGGATAAATTTTCCATTGTTTTTTCATGGTAAGGAGAAAAAAAATGTTATCATCGGAGCCGTGCATTACTTTCGATGAATAAGTGATATTATACAATCTCATTGTTAATGTTTGCTTGCAAATTGATATTTTATTGTATTCATCTCTTTTATTTCATTGCATTCTGATGTTTATATTTTCACTGGCAGCGTGTATTGTACATAGATATTGATATTCACCATGGAGATGGTGTTGAAGAGGCATTTTATTGCACTGATAGAGTAATGACGGTGTCATTCCATAAATTCGGGGAGTTCTTTCCTGGAACTGGGCATATCAAAGACATTGGGGCTGGTGGAGGGAAGTATTATTCTCTTAATGTCCCATTGAACGATGGAGTCAACGATGACAATTTCCGGAGCCTATTCCGTCCCATAATCCAGAAAGTCATGGAGGTATATCAGCCGGAAGCTGTTGTGCTTCAATGTGGGGCAGATTCATTGGCTGGCGATCGATTAGGATGCTTTAACTTGTCGGTTAAAGGTCATGCAGATTGCCTTCGTTTTCTGAGGTCGTTCAATGTCCCTCTTATGGTTTTGGGTGGAGGAGGGTATACAATTAGGAATGTTGCCCGTTGCTGGTGTTATGAGGTCTCTCTCTCTTTCTCTCTGTTTGTGCATATTTTGTGCTCTATTTTCTGGTTCAATGTGCATTTTCATTTAATTTAAATTGATTGAATTTTATCTGGCTTCATAAAATTATTCAATTTCTGTTAACTTCTTTGAAATATCTGCTGATATATTGTTTTTCACTTTGTGTTAGACTGCGGTGGCTGTTGATGTGGAACCTGAGAATAGGTTGCCATATAATGAGTATTACGAATACTATGGCCCTGATTACACTCTCCATGTGGAACCAAGCCAGATGGAAAATCTGAACACAGAACGAGATATGGAGAAAATCAGGTGAAACTTTTTGCACCAAAATTATAATACGTTAATGGAGATATGCTTGAAAATTCGTGGTATAATGGAAATTGATATGCATATGTACATTAGAACCTTTCCTGCACGTCAGGAGCACCACAGGTGCGCATGTGTAGCCCCCACAGACCACAGACATTGCACGTCTTTCCTGCATGCTTATCATTTGGCTGTTAACCTGAAGATGCCATTTTTTTTTGTTAAGCTTGTCGTATGAAGCATTCAATTACTTTGGAACGCTTAATTATTATTGTTCTTTCTGATATGGAAATTGATATGCATCTCTGTACATTAGAACTTTTTCTGCACATCGGGAGCACCACACTTGCGCATATGTGGCCCCCACAGAGTACACACGTTGCACAACTTTCCTGCATGCTTATCATTTGGTTGTCAATCTGAAGATGCCAATTTTCTTTGTTAAGCTTGTCTTATGAAGCATTCAATTACTTTGGAACGCTTGATTATTATTGTTCTTTCTGATATCCAGTAAATTACTTTGGTACTTTTATCTGGTTATGTGCTGTAATATGCAAAATATTCATTATCTTATTTGAAATTACAGAAACATGCTGCTTGATCAACTCTCCAAACTACAGCATACACCCAGTGTCCCATTTCAAACAATGCCTTCAACAACTGAAGTTCCAGAAGAGGTAAAATTAGTGGGGCAAGCAGGCTACATTCTCCCAATTTATATGTGATTTACTTATGCACATTCTGTTTTTCTTTTTATTTATAGAGAGAAGAAGACATGGAAGTGAGGACTAAACCTCGGATATGGACCGGTCAGGACGATTATGAGTCGGATGATGAAGAAAATGGGAAGATGGCTCAGCGAAGTCTGAACAGGGGATCTTCAGATCTGAGGTAGGATCTGACATTGGGAACTTACTACAAACGATTTCAATTTTATTTGTATTTTATCTGAACAGCATACTGTCTATCTGAATAATTTGTTTTGTTTACTGTTTTTTCGGTTGAATTGGATATGGATAGGGATGAATTTAGTTGTTTGGATTTATTCTAAATGCACCACAATTGCACAAAAATAGCTCTAAGTATGTTTATTTTTTTTTTTTTTTTTTTTTTTGCTGTAATAATGGTGACAGTTTAGGTTATGGGTGATGAGGGGTTCTCTAATCCTTAAGACACACATGAAATTGGTATTTAAATACTATCACTACTTGCATAGAAAATTTAAATAAAGAATAAAAAATGACATCTCAAATTGTGCTCTCTAAATGCCCCAAAATAGCTCTAAATAAGTTTTTTATTTTTATTTTTATTTTTTTGGGTGCTATAATAGTTGTAGTGGTTAGGTTGTGGGTGATGAGGGCTCTATAATCCGTAAGACACACAACATGAAATTGTTATCTAAACACTATCACTACTTGCATACTAAATTAAAATAAAGTAAAAAAAAAAAGATGTCTAAAATTTATTTTAAAAGAGGAACTTAGATTCACACGAAAACGTTCATTCGCTCTTCGAGGCGGCCACAGAACAATTGGTTTTGGGAAAAACTTTTTTGTCTTTGGTGGTTTCTCGGATGAGCAGAGCTTGTATGATGATGTGTATATGGTTTCTCGGATGAGCAGAGCTCGTATGATGATGTGTATATGGTTTCTTTGATGAGCAGAGCTTGTATGATGATGTGTATATGCTTGACATAGGTAAGTAAGGTTGTAATGAATTTAGTAGTTTTGAAGAGTTCACCAAAGCGCATGAAATCTTTGTGGAAAAACAAGAAATATCATATTAATTTCAAATACTGCTCTAATACATATGTTTAACATAATTGTCTTAAACTCTTGCACTGGCTTAAATCATTTTGTGTTTCTTTCGTATGTTAAAATTGACATTGTTCAATATGATCATATTATTCTGAAGCTTTCCTACATGAATTATGTGGAATAACTAAAAAGTAGTCTTACCACATTGTTTAAGATGACTCCATAAATGGATTCTAAATGCACTACTGTCGCACAAAAATAGCTCTATATATGTTTCTTTTATTATGTTTTGTGTGCTATAATAGTTGTGATGGTTAAATTGTGGGTGATGAGGGGCTCTCTAATCTTAAGACACAACCTGAAATTGGTAAATAAATACTATCACTACTTGCATAGAAAATTTAAATGTAAAAAATGATCTAAAACTAATTTAGAAAGAGTATCTTAGATTCACACCAAAATGTTCCATTCCCTCTTCGACGCGGCCACACAATAATTGGTTTTGGGAAAAACTCATTTGTCTTTGGTGGTTTCTCGGATGAGCAGAGCTTGTATGATGATGTCTATGTGCTTAACTTTGGTACGTAAGCCTGTATTGATTGCTATTTCTAGATGAGCAAAGCTCGTATGATGATGTGTATATACGTAAGCCTGTATTTATTGCTATTTCCAGATGAGCAAAGCTTGTATGATGATGTGTATATGCTTGGCATTGTTACGTAAGCCTGTATTTATTGCTATTTCCAGCTGAGCAGAGCTTGTGTGATATGTGTATATACGTAAGCCTGTATTTATTGTTATTTCCAGATGAGCAAAGCTTGTATGATGATGTGTATATGCTTGACATTGTTACGTAAGCCTGTATTGATTGCTATTTCCAGATGAGCAAAGCTCGTATGATGATGTGTATATACGTAAGCCTGTATTTATTGCTATTTCCAGATGAGCTAAGCTTGTATGATGATGTGTATATGCTTGACATTGATACGTAAGCCTGTATTTATTGCTACTCTAGATGAGCAGAGCTTGTATGATGATGTGCCTACATCAAACAAGAACCCTCTGAATCGTCCGAGATGTTTATTGAATCCTAACAAATTCGATTTCTTTATTTAGCTTGGAATTTTGAATAGTTATCTCTTTGCATTAGAAATCTCGTTTGAATCAATAGGTGTTGACTTGTGAGTAATCATTGATTGGCTTCTTTATTTTATTGTGATTGCAATTGATGTTATTTTTTTGTGCAATACAGGGGCAGTTCTGGTACTGTCGAGGAGGATGATATGGCTGGTGCACGTCAACGCAGATGAGAATATATTAGTTTTCTTCCCTCCCTCTCGTTTTTTCGGTAAATTCTAGGCCCGAGTATACATTATACAGAGGAAAAAAGAAACAATTTGTTAGATTTGAACGATAGTTTTTTTATGCAAGTATTGTACAATATCTTGCCTGTAATTCATTTAGAACAAACACGAGTGATGGTTCGAATGTAAATCCAGTGTACGGATATATATGCATGCGCGTGTTGTGATTTTTTTATAGCTGTTATTGTTTATAGTGTAGAACCAGAAGTAGAAAGGCTTCTGCTATGTGCGTGTGGTGTGTGTGCGCTTTTTGTGGTGTGGTATGTGGGTACATATATTGTGGTTTGGAATTTATTTTTCATTTATCAATGTGTGAATTTTATTGATGAATAATAAAATTTGACATTTAGCTGAAATATATTTTTAAGTTATATAATGGAGGATTAATTTAAATATATGTACAATATTTTTTTAGAAGAGTATAATTAAACATTTTGAAGCTAATAAAATATTATAGCTGTGGTGTTTCTTTTGAAAATTGTGCAAATTTCTTTGTAGAAAAACTTTAATTTTGTACATATTAGTTATTTGAGTGCATATTGAAGATCAAATTTGTGGATTGATAGTTCTTTGTTAGTGCACAATTTGTGCACATCGTGTGTGTATAACATCACTTTTGCACACCCCCCAAAAGAAAAAGAAAAAAAGAAGCTTAAATGAAGCTCTAAACATCACTATAAACTTGTCACCAATTCAACTTATCAGCTCTAAAAACATCTTATCAGACGCAAGAGCTTATCAGCTGTTTAAAATAAGTTTAGACAAACACGCTCTAAGTTTTGTAGCAAGGACTGCTAAAGTTTTGAATTTAAAAAAGAAAACGATAGATAAAAAAATAAAATTAAAACTCGGCTCGTGTAATGCCCACAGTATTTAGTTTATCAAGCCCCCGCTTTCAAGCCGATGTGTCACTTTATTTAATCTTGTTGTATTAAATGTTAGGTCCCCAAAGCTTTGATAAAGATGCGATTCACGTTTAATCCAATTTATTGCAACGAAAACGATGCCTATATATACACGTATTGTTAGACAAATCATCTACAAATTTACGTTGTATATACAACAGATTGATATCTAGCATAAAAAGTTCAAGTAATATATATATATATATATATATATATATATATATATATATATATATATATATATAGATATAGAGATGGCTTAGAATTCAATCAATTGGAATGCAAAAGCACCAGCAGATCAATTTGCTTACAAACTACTTCATTATTGCTCTACCCCACTCTCTTCTAATATGACTTTAAGTCTAAGTTTGATTATTTCTGTTAAACACCCTTTAAATCATCATCATATATATAATTAATTATCCTTGATGATCACATGTCCTTTTTTTTTTATCATATATATTTAAGTTCCTAGCTGCCACACATTACTATATTTGAGCTCCATAAACTTGTTTCCATTTCTTAATAGTTCTCGTTCCGACAAATACCTCATTTTCTTCTCATTTATAAAAAAAAACACGAGAAAAATGGGACGACACTCTTACTGTGTGAAGCAGAAGCTGAAGAAAGGCTTGTGGTCACCTGAAGAAGATGATAAATTGTGCGATTATATTACGAGATTCGGTGTCGGTTCTTGGAGTTATGTGCCTAAATTAGCCGGTACGCATATTTTCATCTGAATTTTTTTTTTCCGAAGTTTGTTATTTGGATCAATGATCCAAATATGTATATATTTTCGTTAAATATGTAAGTTCACGTTGCCTAGCGTTTTTTCCACGTAGGTTTGGAGAGATGCGGAAAGAGTTGCCGACTGCGATGGATTAATTATTTGAGACCTGATCTTAAAAGAGGAAAGTTTTCGCAACAAGAAGAGGATTTGATCCTCACTCTTCATCAATCTCTTGGCAACAGGTTATTATTATTATTAATATTTATAGTAACAATAATAATATATATATATTTCAAGAATTTAATTAATCTTGATATGTGTAATTCATTTTGGTGATTTTTGAAGTAATTAAAAAAAATGGCAGGTGGGCTCAAATTGCAGCACAATTGCCAGGAAGAACAGACAATGAGATCAAGAACTTTTGGCACTCGTCTCTTAAGAAGAAGCTTCCGGAAACGCACGAGAATATAACTCAAACTCGAACGGAAGTTATCAATATGGAGGATAAAGTACTCTATGATCCTCTTTTCTTGTCCGAATTACAATGCGATCCTGATTTTTCGCAGCAAAATCTCACGAGGCCTAATTATTTGGATAATCGAAAAACGGAATATTCCGATAGCTCGGTCGGAAATACTCCTAGTACATTTTCATGGGACGATGAAATTAAAAACAAGTATGAATCCATGTTTGATTTCCGGATCGAAGAAACGAATACGCAAACTGTATGGGAAGAAGGGAATCAGCAGATTGGAGATTTTGGTAATTATCCATTGGCATTACTTTCTGAAGAACTGTCTGCAGCAAACTTTGATGCTTTTCAACAAATGTGAACTGTAATTTGTTTTGTTTTTTATTTTTTATTATTTATTTAACAAATTTCATTTACTTGTATTAATTTAGGGAAAGCTTTTCAGGTGTGAATTTTATATCTTGATTTCTTTTTATATATTTTTTTTATTTTTATGTTTTTTTCATTTTCCATGATTGAATTAATTAATAAAGTAAAAAATATTGGTGAGGTGTATTTCAAGAATTATTCTAAAAAAAAATTATTTTCTTTTCGAGAATTATTATTTATAATAAATAATAATTTGTGTATTTTATTTGAGGGTTAAAATCAAAACGAAACATTTTAATTTGATTTCGACTATCGACTTTAGAATTCTTTTTTTATTTTTTATTTTCTTTTAAAGATTGAATTAAGGAGGTGTGACTTTCTTGATATGGACCATGCACATAAACCTGCATTGTCATTTTCATATCTTCTTACATGCAGTGTTGGTCCATGCAAAATTATTGTTGAAAATAGGATTGGAATTACCTAGGGGTGAAAGTTGTAACTAAAATTCCAATTTCCGTTGGTTTCGATGTGAAAAGTTCCGATTTTGGAATAATTTTTTTCATTCCGATTTCCAAAAATTTCCGATGTTTTTGGGTTGGAATTGGAACTCCGGAAATTATGAAATTTTCCGCTAAGTTTTGAAATTTTAGAACTCGTGTGATTTCCGAAACTTATCCGAAATTCCAAGATTTCCGGGAGTATTGGAATTGGAACGAATTATTAGATTCAAAAATTTTTGGAATTGATTTTGTACTTCCGAAAAGGTTAATTCCGATCCGTTCCATCTGAATTTCGACCCTAGAATTACCAAATTAGTATTTTAGATGTTAAAAAAGTCTGATTTCCTTCGAAAATGAAAAGTTATATCTGAAATTTTTCCATCCAAATGTTTTCAAAAAATATATATACTCCAAAATTAGAAAATTTCGAATCAGCATTCAGAAGTTCTGTTTTGATTCAGAAAATTTTCAGAAAAAAGTTCGGAATTTTTCAGAATTATACTCAAGAAATGAACTGAGATCGCACGGAAACGTTAAAAAATCGAAATATAGGAAATCAAAATGAAAGATCTTGTTTCGAAAACCCGAAATTTTTCGGATAAGGATCGACAACAAATTTCATATACTTGTTATTACATAACCACAGTAATTATATACCATTCTGCATCTTTTCATATGCAACTAACAATTAACAGATAACTTGCTCAATCCCATAATAACACACACACACACACACACACACACACACACACACACACACACACACACAAATCCATTCATAGAAGTTTGTGCAGAAAACCTGATAGATAAGATATTTTCTTAAACCTCTATAAATTAATTTAGCGAATTATTAAATTATTTGGTTAATAATTTAATATATTTTCACCGAATTGAGACCGAAAAAACTATTATTTAATCGAGGTTATTAATTTATCGAGCTTCTAGTGTATATAATTTCATAACATTCTGCATATGCAATTAACAATTAACAGATACTTGCTCAATCCCATAAAAATACACACACACACACACACACACACACACACAAATCCATATTCATCGAATAACAAATACGAATCGAGAATTATTTTCGAAACACTCGATTATCGATCTTGAAAAAAAAAAAAAAAACCCGATAAAATCGCACTTTCTAAACGTGTCTATGCGTAGTATGTACTACTCCACCAGCCTGATAAATAGTAAGCTGATGAATAGCCTTAGCAAACAATTCTCTCAACTCGGGATTCTGACTCACGACATATCTCGCCGAGCCCTCGACTACACTCAACGCCCTCGCCTGCTCGAGCGCTTTACTATTCCCGGCATTTATCGCGAGATTACAAAGCAACACGAGCTCGTGCAAATGCAAACTACCCCTATCGTTGCCTTTCAATAAACTCATCAACTTCGGCACCCCGTTGAACTCGATAATCGCCTGCGTATGCTCCTTCCGATTATAATTATCCTCGCACACAAATTTCCCCAACGCCTTCGCTGCCTCGCCGCCGATTTCAAGATTCTTATGGCCAAGATTCGAAACCAAAGACTCCACTATTCGTTTCTCCTTGGCGGCAAACATCGAAGCCAAACACCCGATCGTCTTGATGGCGGGGACCACAAAGGCCGGATTTTGATAGTCCTCGTTTATTACGCGTAGAAGCTGGTCCAGGACGACCTTCGCGGCGGTCGAGGTTGGCTTGAAAGCGGCCCGTTTGAGATCGTAGTTCGATTCCGCCACCGCCGCCAGCTCCATAACCACCATCAAACAGTTGGTTTTCAAATCGCCGCTTTCGGTTTCGATAGTCTTGGCCAAAACTAGCAAGGCTTTGGTTTCAGTGATTTTCTTGCTGTTCGATAAACTCCCTCTCGCGAGTTTTCGAAGCGCGTTCGCGCAGCTCAACTTAAGGCTCGATTTAACCTCAGGCGACTCGGATTCTCTCTCCTTTTCTTTCCTACGCTTACCGCTCCCCTCCAAACTATTACTACTATCGTAACTATGAATGCTCTTCTTCGTCATCTCTTTGTTAATTTCGACGAGCGAATGGATGCTGTTAACGGGTTTCTTCGGATTCGCGGATTCTTTAAACTCGTCCAAATCGACATCCACGCCTAAAAGCGCGACTAGCGGCCTCGTTATATTCTCTCTCCCGAAATCCTCCCGCACGTCGGAATCCATTTCCGACATTTTCGCGACTAGATTCACTAATGTGACTTGAACCCTCATGTGAGCTTCCGGGAGCAATTTTGAGACGATTTGTACGCCTAGGGCTTCTGCGATTGTCCGAACGCGGCTTCGATCGTCGGCCAGATTGCAGAGGGCGGTGGCGGCGGCGATTTGCGCTTCAAGGTTTCGACTTTCTTTTAGCATTTTCAATAGAGGGGGGATCCCGTTTTCTTCTACGATGATTTTTTTGTTCCGTTCGTTGCTGCCGTGGGTTAGGGTTGCTAATTCGTTCGCCGCCTCGGGTTGGCCCATGTGGAGGGCGGCGATGTACGGCCAGACCCAAGCTAGGATGGGATCGGTGGCGGCGATTGGCGGCAGGGATAAATTGATGTCGGAGTTTTGATTGAATATGGAGAGGACCCATTTGATGTCGGCCAAGGAGGAGTCGAGTACGGCGGAGACTTTGAGGAAATCCGCGGCGGCGGTGATGGAGAGGACGTGGTGGAGGACGTTGGTCTTTTTGCGGCGGCACTTGCGGGCGATGGTGAGGGCGCGGTCGAGGGATTTGGTGAGGTCGACGGAGACGCGGCGGATGGGGCGGTCGTATACGGCGGTGGAGGAGGTGGCGAGGCGGGCGGCGGAGCGGAGGTGGTGGGAGAGCTCGGTGACCTGGGCGGCGAGTTTGGCGTTCTCCGGCTTGAACGACTGGGCGTCTTGAGCTGATTTGACGACGCGATCGGCGAGGAGGATTGGGAGGGAGAGCACTTCTTGGATTGGCTTCTCTTCTTCAGCCGCCATTACCATCGGAATTTCCACAATTCTTCAAAACCCCCAAACACTGTAAATAAAGATTAGCAGCAAAATTGAAGAGAGAGAGAGAGAGAGAGAAGAGTGGTTATGTGGTATAGTGTAGTAAGTGTGAACAAGGGAAATTTTATTATGACACTTATTCTATTGGTTGAAATTTTTCATTTTTCTTGTTTTATTTATTTATTTATTAATTAATTTATTATTTTGGTTAAAGAAAGACTTGATAAATAAACTTTATATTATAATTGGTTGTGGGTATAGCCTAACATTTTTAAGGAAGTCAACTCAAACACACACTAGCTAAATTTAAAAGTTAAAACATTGTCTAGTAGACTCAAGTGTATATATAAATATATATTAAATATATACCTACCTTTTTTTTTAATAGTAATTAAAAAATATATTTTATATGTGTATAAATGGTCGTTTTCAAGTTTGGTCTAGCTAATTTTTGGGACAAACAATTGTTTTCTATTTTTTGTGTCAATTAACATATAAAGTTCAGCTAATTTCGAATTCATTTGCCAACATTTTTTAAGTCTATTCGTCATATATTATTAGTCTGATGTAGTTTATATTTATCGTGCGATTTGCGAGTTACTACAGGATTGGCTGATTTTAACCACTTCAAGTGGCTACAAGTTTTATAATCTATAAAAAAAAATAGAATAATGTACATTGTATAAAAGTTCTTGTTAAATTGAGTAATTGACACATGGCACAAAATTTTAAAGTGACAAATTATTGCAAAGTGACAGTTCACATATCATCTTTTGTTGTAAAGGAAATTTTATAACTTTGGAAAAAAGAAAAAAAAAAAAAAAATCATTCTCCTAATTACTTTTAAAGTTATAAGGATCAAAGAAATGTCATAAAGGTTCCCAAGTCATACTTCCACAATAAATTGAAGAATAAAGGTGTGGTGTAAATTAAAGGGCATATTACAAATAAGCGCATCAGTGGGAACTTATTCATAAAGAGATCCAGACAATATTCTCCTTTACCAATAAGTCCACACATGGTCCAGATTTATGTAAAGGACTAAAATAACCCCTCTTACTTTTATATGCTCCAATTTCATCCTTAACTTAATTTAACTTCAATTTGACCCCAAATTTCACAAATTATTCAATTTTGACCCAAAACTTTTTTTTTTCACAAAATTTTTTTTTTCAAAAACTTTTTTTTTCCGCCGGATTCCGGCGCTGACCGGCGGTCAACGCCGGTCTCCGGCGTTGACTTTTTTTTTTTTTTTTTTTTTTTTCTTCCGGATTTTTTTTTTCCGGATTCCGGCGTTGACCGGCGGTCAACGCTTTTGTTTTCTTCCAGATTTTTTTTCTCCGGCGTTGATTTTTAATTTTTTTTTTTTTTTTTTTTTTCTTCCGGATTTTTTTTCCGGATTCCGGCGTTGACCGGCGGTAAACACCGGTCTCCGGCGTTGACTTTTTTTTATTTTTTTTATTTTATTTTTTTTTTTAATTTTTTTTTCTGTAACTTTTTTTTCCGTTTAAACAACAATATTGCTTTGAATGACAGTAATATTAACTATATTACTGTTAAACACAGTAAAAATAACTAAACTATAGTTTAACACAGTGATATTGCTATATTAATCTCTAGCACATTAATATTAACACAACAAAATTCATTATTATTGTATAATAAAGTAATATTACTATGTTGTCCGTTCCACAAATGTAAACAAAATAAAAAAAAAACAAAAGAATTAATATTACTGTGAGTGACAGTAATATTACTATAGCAACAGTAATATTACTATAGCAACAGTAATA